ATGTTACACACTGGAACTTTAAGCCATTGTTTGTCCTGCACCACCAGACTTCAGAATATATCTTTATTTATATATATGTGTCTACATATTTGTCAGGAGTTGATTTGCTGCTCACCTTTTTCATATTTGGGCTTAGAGAGGTTATTAAATCATTCCAAGTCAGTAGACTAAAGTCCAAGTGGAGTCACAAGTCATAAGTGTTAAAGTCAGAGTTGCATATTGTCACATAAGCTCTGACACAGCCGGAGACAGCTAACACACTTATCTTATACTGAATGTCATTGACCTGCACTTTCTTTTTATATCTTTTATATTTAACAGAGAGAACGGGTACTGTTTCTGAGTACATCCAAGGGATTAAGGTTCCATTTAGAGCTGGATAATGGATGCTTCTAAAATGACTTTAAAATAACTGAATCACTACAGCAAACGCTGCTACTAAGATGGGGAATATTAGGTGGTGAGCCAATATTTGGTCAAACCTTGTACTTTGTGATATCACTACTTGACTGCTCTTCCAAACAACCCTTTTCTTTATATGTAAAATGATTCTGTTGTGTTTTGACTGATGTGAAGGGGTGGTAGACATGTTGCTTGAGATCTCACATATCAGATAGCTGACAGATGCTGTTCACTGGCAATCAACCTAATACGAGCTGCCAGTATAGCAGCGTGTCTGATAGTGATTGAAATGCCTCCATCCCAATACAATGGAGCTGAATGGTGAATTATAAACCTCTCTGACCAGAAGATGTGAGTGCCACAAGCTAAATTCCATTATATTGTGATGGCAGCAGAAAAACCAAAGCAGTCAGCATGGAAGGTCACACTATAGAGAAGTGAGAAGATATATTTTTTTATGAACTAACTAGTGTTTGGCAAGAATCTGACAACTCAGTATATTGTGATACTGTAAGCAAGTCGATATATTGCGATTTTAAAAATATATACATATAAAATCTGAGTTTAAGTTAACATCACAGCTATCAAGAGTTTTTGAGAATCGATACAGTATCAAACAACAAAATATGCTCAAGTGTATCGATATTTTCTTACACCCCTAGAACTAACCATTTCAAAATTCGGTCTGGCTCATGCGGATATAAGGGGTGCACAAAATAACAAGAGCACCATTCAAGGCAACACCTCAATCTGTGGCCCCATAAATGGTTGAGTCATCACTTAAAAAATTGTGTTAATTTTTGTTATGTAGTTTAGAACAGTTTGGGACACCCACTAGGGGTCACCAAAGCTTCATGTGGAGGTCACAAGGCCTTCTTGATTTTAAGGGGTATAAGAAAACTTAAAAATATACAGGCCTAGATTTCAGCATTTCATTCATTTCTGTGAAAATTAAATGAGATTGTAAGGTTATGATTTTTATTTGAGATCTGAACTTTAAAGACCTGAACTCAAGCTGTATTCTTCACAGCCTTCACTGTGTGATAAACAGCCTCGTCATTATAATATAAGAATTTATAATTATAATAATAACAACAATAATA